AGGAGACTTCAAGTCCTTCGTGTTCACGGAGACCCAGTTCACGGCCGTGACGCCGTATCAGAACCACCGGGTGGTTGGGCCACAGCTCCTGGGGCACCTGCCAGCCCATTTCATAGGGATGGAGACTGAGGCTCAAGTCTTAGCCGCCCCGTGCACACAGACCCCAGCCCTTCTCTCCTTCCCCGGACTCAGTGAGCGTCTGCCCAGTCATTCCCCTCCCTTCACCCCCGCAGTGGTTCCGGGTCCCAGGGCCTCCTGACTGGGGGGTCCAGGGAGGTAAGGATGGGTGAGCCTGGGGCCCCACAGCCTTTCCCCAGTTCGGGGCTGACCCATAACTTCACTCTCTTCTCTGCAGATCACGCAGCTGAAAATCGCCAGCAACCCTTTCGCCAAGGGCTTTAGAGAGAGTGACCCGGACTCCTGGTACTGACTCCTGTCAGGCTTCCCGCTGCCCTGGCCCAGCCCCTCAGCCCCAGCCCCCGGCATCTGCTAGGGCTGGGCTCCTTAGAAGGGCCACACCCATGGACTGGTCCTGGGGTCTCATGGGCTGACTGAACCAGATCCTTGGCGTGGTTCTCCACCTTGACCCCTGCCCCTCCCTGCCTGTCCATCTCCAGGACTGCATCTGCACAGCCCCTGCCCAGCGTCCCCGCCCGGAGTCGCAGCAGCCTCGGGCCCTGCCTGCTGAGGGGCTCCGCAGAGCAGGAGAAAGGTTAGTCCCCAGGGGGACCAGAGCCCACACGGTGGGTGAGCAGCCAGGGGGCAGCACCACAGGGCTGCCAAGAGGCTCCAGCTCACTCAGCAGCCCACTGGGCACCTGTGTGGACAGGAGGGGAAGCAGATTTCTCAGGCAATTTGGGGCCCAGGGCAGAGAGAACAGGTAGGGACACGGTTCTGAGAGGGAAGGGGGTGCGGTGGGGGGCGAACAGGTGAACTTCCTGGAGGAGGTGGTTCCCAAGCTGGGCCTTGCAGGACTGGGAAGGAGAAAGTGAGAAAGAAATCCCAGGCAGAGGTAAGAGCAGGAGCAAAGGCTGAGGTGGGCAACCTGGGATGGGAGGAGCAGAAAAGGGCAGGTGTGGATGTGCGGGGAGGTCTGGGGTTCGCTCAGACTGCTTCCTCCCTCAGATCCCAACAAAGCTCCAGCTTCCACCTCCAGGAGCCCTGCTCGGCTCCACCACCAGCTGCTGGCCAGCCCTGAGGCTCTGCTGGCCCCCGCCACCTACCGGGCCCTCGCCTATCAGGACCTGTACCCTGGAGCCTCAAGCTCTCTTGGAATCCCAAGGGCCCGGCCAACGCCGTATCCCCTCCCCAATATCCAGGCTGACAGGGATCAGGGGGGCCTGTCCCTCCCAGCTGGGATGGGGCTCCTGGCCCCCACTGCCGCGTGCCTGAGGTCTCACCAGGACCCTCAGTGATGAGGGGTACCCTGTGGACACAGTCCTCTTACCCTGGACCCCACGCCCTCCAGCCTCACCTCTGCAGAGACCCCCGCCTTCCCAAGGAGAGCAGTGAACACAGAAGCCCAGAGGGGGAGGCTACCTGCCCACAATCTCAGCAAGGCTGGGATGGTGCCAGGCTAGGACCAGGCCTCCTACCTCCCGACCTGTCCCCTTATGCCTTGGGGGTGACTCCTCCAGACCCTGCTCCCCCTCTTCCTTACCCCAAACATTAAACCATTTGGCATGGGTGGTCAGAGCGCTTCTGTCCTCAGGGCTGAGGGTGGAGGGCCTCAGGGACACTCCAACGCCAGAGCCTGGGCTGCAGACACCCCAAAGCTCTCCCAGTGCCCCCGGCATCCCTGGAAGCACAGTGATGGTCAAGGTGGTGACACCAGCGAGGGGCAGGGCTGGGTGGGAGGCGGAGTTCCCGCTCCCTACCTGTGTGCCCAGATGAGGACTGAACTGCAGCTCAGAGAGGTACTTGCTCAAGTCAAGGTTTGATGACACCTGCCACTCAACGTCGTCGAGGTGCTGTGCATAGGTTGGGGTCGTCTGGCGGAGGGTTACAGAACCAACATAGGCAATGGCCACGCGTGCCACGATCGGGTGGGGGAGGGACTTGAGAATCTGATCGAGACTTGACACGGGAGAGCTTCTAGAGCAGTGGTTCTCAACCTTCCTAATGCCGCGACCCTTTAATACAGTTCCTCATGTTGTGGTGACCCCCAACCATAAAATTATTTTCGTTGCTACTTCATAACTGTAATTTTGCTACTGTTATGAATCGTAATGTAAATATCTGATATGCAGGATGTATTTTCATTGTTACACATTGAACATAATTAAAGCATAGTGATTAATCACAAAAACAATATGTAATTATATATCTGTTTTCCGATGGTCTTAGGCGACCCCTGTGAAAGGGTCGTTCGACCCCCAAAGGGGTCGTGACCCACAGGTTGGCGACCCACAGGTTGAGAACCGCTGTTCTAGGGAAAGCGACATTTAAACCTAAAGGAGTAGAAAGGAAAAAGGAAAAAAGGAGTAGAAAGGAGAGGGAGAGGGGACACAGCTCCGGGAAAGGCCAGGCGGGAGTGGGTCCCAGGAACGCGAGGTCCCGGCGCGGCCCCTGATATCTAGGGGGCGCCCCATGAACCCCCTAAACGCCGACTCCGCCCATCTTGGAGCAGTTCCTGTGAGGTCCTTGGAGAGAAACGGACACACACGGGCGCAGAGGGACGGGAACCGGCGGGGCCTCCGCAGCAAGACACCCCGATTCCTGAGCTCCGCGTCGGAAGGGCTGAGTTCGCCCCCGGGCCGAGCACGACCGAAGGTCGAGGACACACAAGCCTGACCGCCCATCCCAGGTCCGGCCCGGCCCACGCCGCCCTCTGCGGGCAGCCAGGACACCGGCCCCCGCCCCTTCCGGCCCCGCCCACTGGTCCCTTCTGGGACCCGCCCCCCGCACAGGCCACGCCCCCTGTTTAGGCCACGCCCCTTGTGTAGGCCATGCCTTGAAACCGCCAGGGCAGCTTAGGAGCCCAAGGGCGGGGCGGGGCGGGGCGGGCGTTCGGGCCCATCGGTGCGCCGCCCGCGCCGGGTCGGAGCTCCGGAGCGCT